TTTTTTTTTTTTTTTTTTTTGTAGTAGGGCCTGATGGCCTCTTGCACATAATATGAGGACTTGGACCCAATACAGTAATAGCTAATTGTGAAAAGCAACTACATACGTATTGTGAGAACCAATCACTTAATCTATGCCAGGAACTCTTTAAAATAAAAATAACACTTAAGCCCAGCTGGCATGGCTCAGTGGTTGAGCACTGACCTATGATTCAGGAGATCCAGGTTCGATTCCAGGCCCGGGCACATGCCAGGGTTGAGGGCTTGATCCCCAGCATGAGGAGTGCGGGAGGCAGCCAGTCAATGACTCTCTCTCATCATTGATGTTTCTATCTCTCTCTCCCTCTCCCTTCCTCTCTCTGGAATCAATAAAGATATATTTTAAAAACACACACACTTAAATTCAAGGAACAGTACAAATATTGATAAGTTCTTATATTCTTATTAAGCAAGTGTCTCCTACTCGAAGCTTGAATGCTGTAGGACATGTGAGAAAAAGTAACACGTGGGAAAGGTGTTTGATGCACATAGGCAGAGAATTTTTTTCACACAGTTGTTGAGGCCACATTGATCCAGCAATTTAAATATTATTATCCATGGTCTCGCTCATTAAATACTTAAGGAAACAGTAAAATTGTTTAGGGATACACATGTAGAATGCCATATCCAGAGCTATATCCAAGCAGGCAAACGATTACCCTGCTTATAAATTCTAGGCAGATGATAATTTAGAGTGCCCATGAAAGCCAGAGTTTATGTGATTGCTCTCTTAATTACTGGGCTCCGTGCGATCAAATATTTGTGGAAGAGGGAGCTTTTCTTTGTGGGAGTGGATAATAACTGTTCTTACACTTTGAAATTTTTGCCTTGAGTTATTAAGATTTGCATTTCTCACTTTGGTTGTGAGGAAAGGTGTTTAGCCTGTTTTAGAAAGCAGGTACCAAAGAACCAATCATCAAACACCCCAGAAAGTTTCCACGCTAGACAAGTGCAAAATCTCAGCTATTGGCAATCCACCTCCAGAAACAAATCTACGGAAGGGTGGAAAGGGGGAGGAAGGATGCGTCGCTTTCCTTAGGTGAATGCATTGTGATCGCATGTGGCGCCCGCGTTAGGAAACTGCATTTGCTTACCAGCCGCCTTTAGAAGCCAGCCCGGCGTCCGGGCGCCCG